TGGGATCATCCCCACTTTCCTTTTCCCTACTTGCAGACTGTGAGCCTTGGCTCTCTCTATGATCCTTCCATCTGGACTACTGCTGAATGTACAAAGCACTTGGAATGGGTGATAGTGGGGATCTCAATATGTTGTGTGTATGTGTGCATATGTGCATTTCAAGGTCTTGATTGTTTTCCCTTGTGGGACATTTTCTAATGTTCCCTGAAATGCACATTTTTGTGGGCATGCACACACAACAGTTTGGAATTTACTCCCCCCAACTCACACATTAGAACAAGTCAATAACAGGAGCATTAGTACCTCCCCTCACTTTCAAAGATCTAGTTTTCTCATACAAAACATAAAAGGATTGCAGAGGTGGGACCAGAGGAAGAAAAGGTTAACATAGGCAGGACCAGAAGAAGGAAGGAAAGAAGCGGGCTGTGGGTTGGAATTCTATTTGCATCACAGCAAGTATTAGTAATGAACTCCTGAATCAATCTGCAGTCCCTGTGAGAGTGCTTATTGTGATTTCAGATGCAATAAGGCTGAAAAATGAAATATCTAATTCATAATTTTCTAATTATGATGTGTAGTGCATTTATTACAAGGGATCTGTGAGGGTATTGCTATGCTGGCACTCTTTATCTCTTTACTCTTCCCTGTGGTTGCCCCAGAAATACAGAAATGCCCCTGTGTTAATTCTCATTTATACATTTGTCTTAAGACAGTGCATGTGTCTACTCTAAAATATATGTCTCACTCTCACTGTGGATTACTAGGGGTTAGTGATTAGGGAGAAGTGAGTTCTGTGCATCTTGGGTAGAGGTTGGCGTGTTTTTCATTTAGCGTTCTCTTCATAGTTCTCTGAAAGTTCTGAAAGACCCCAGCCAACAAATAGAGGTTGCCACTGAAATTAATAATTCCCTTGTTGAAAGGACAAATCCATCCAGTTTGCTTAACTCCCTCCCCCTCATTCTTCTCCAGATTGGAAAATATCTTGAAATGTTGTGAGATTTTGCCTATGTGCAGCCAGGGCACTTGCTAGGCCAAAGATCTCTACCCAGTCCCAGGTGCTTGGGAACAGCATAGACCACAGTGCTTCAGAAGCTCCTTGCTCTCATTGGGAACATTAACAGACTGTGGTGAGCAACAGGAGCAAGTTACCAAGCTATGCAGCTTATTATTTGGTATTTTCTCTCTCTGAGTCAATAATCTTGATTGCTTCCTGTAGGGGTGTGTGAATACCATCCCCTTTCATTTGCTCTGAATTATTTTTCTTACAAGTCACGACTGATTTGCTCTAAGCTGATTTGTAGCCTTTCTGATTTGATTTATATCTGTGTAGGAATCAGATAAATATTTTAAAATATGGGTATGTATCTGTATTTCTCTTAATAGTGGGGGAAAATGAAAATGAAGAAACTAAAAGTCTGTAACTGGGGCGGAGCATCTGGGACACAAATACTGGGAGGGTACCAGTATTTGTGTCCCAGGTGCTCCACCTTAGTTACGGAAGTCTGGATGTAAATATTTATTTATTTACTCAATTTAAATTCTGCCCTGTTAGTGCAAGCACTACAGTGGCTGGTTTCTACAAGATTAAAACAAGATAAAACTTACTATCAAGTGTTAGGAAGATAAGCAGCAACACCTTCTGCTCTATTCCATTTCCTTTTTTTAAAAAGCAGAAACTTCTTTTTCTTTTGGGGGGACCTCACACTCTCCTCCTCCTTTTCCATGGGTGGTCATGCCTATATCTCACATCACAATGTAAGAGATGGTGTTATCTGTCCTGGGTACCATAATGGCTAGTTACAGCTTTGGCTCTAACCTGGGATGGGGATGAGGAAGGGATGAAATTCAGTGCCTGCCTACCCTCCATCCCTCCCTCCCGGTAGGACTATATCCTATGAAACTAATGATGCTTAAGCTTCAGGGCCCCTACTCCAAGGGGGACCCCAGAAGCGACTTTAGTCCACATAGTTTTTTATTTTAAATGACTACACCTCCCAGAAAACTCCCCCAGCAGTTGGGGGGTTCTGTGAATTGCAGACAAAAAAAAAGTCTAAGCTTTGTGTAATATTGCCATGCCCTATCTGTTGCCAAAAAAAAAAAGAGTCCATGGCACCTTAACTGTTAAAACGTTGTCAAACTACCAGCAGCTTTCGCACTGGTGCCCTGTGTTTATTCTGCCCCCAAAAAAAAAAAAAAAAAGAGTCCATGGCACCTTAGCTGTTAAAACATTGTTAAACTACTAGCAGCTTTTGCACTGGTGCCCTGTGTTTATTCTGCCCTCTTCTCACCCCAATAGTTCTATTTACTTTCTAGGTACTGTTTGCAGGCAACACTGTCAAACAGACTTTAGCCATCAAGAAACAGGACAGGCTGTCCCCAACCTGCAGCGTTTACCCAGAAACTGATGCATAATGGGCCACTCCAAAGTCGATCTATGATAGTGTGACATCCTTAACTGAAGACATCAGCCAAATTGGTGATGGCTTTATTTTTTGGCTAAAGACCCCAAGAGACTGCAGCAGGCTTATTTCTTGCAAAAACATTGGGAAGGACACAGACAGAATGTTTTGCCCCACATCTCTGCTTTTAAATGGGCTAGAGGCTTACTTCTGGGTGAGGGGGAGAACCAAGGGGGTGGGGAAGAGAGCGAGAGCCCCACTGGAGGCTTCTGGAGGCATAATTCCCCATTTTGGAGTGATAATAATTTTAGAATAAATGATCCTATAAACAAGATTCCCTACACAGATTCCTTCTACAAAGGTAATGGATTCATTGAGTTAGAAAAGTAAAAAGTAACTTTTAATTTTTATTTGGAAAGCTTGTATCTCCTCTCCCCCCCCACCCCCCAATGTATCTGAGGCAGACTGCAAAGCAAATGGAGACCAGGCCCCTAATTGATGAGGGGAATCTTCTCCTTCTCTCCCTTCAACAAGTAGTTGATTAGACTCCAAATGTTCAAACATCTAGGAGGAATTTTTGATGAGAAAAAAATGAAATTCTTCCCTTACAGGAGGGGTGGGCAAACCTTGGTCGACCCAGGTGGCATATTGCCAGCTCCAGGGCCCTCCATGGGTTTCACCAGTTAACTTGAACTAAAACCAGCCAAACTGCCCCTTCTTCCAGTCTTTTAAAATAGACTGAGGCTGTAATAAGGGATGGAGGGGGCAGCTTGTGCTAGTGGAGAACTGCACCCAGTTTTTTTAAAAAATGAAAAAAAAATTGTGTGTGTGTGTGTGTGTCTAGTGACACAAACTCAGCTAAGAAAGGACACGATTCCCCATCTGCCTTTGAGATTACGAGAGGCTGCTTTCCCTCAACATTACTCACTAAGCCAAAACTGTACTTACCCTTTGCGTTGCCTCTTGGAGCCTAGTACTGTTTAAAGACTAAACAGGAGGGTGAGCTTTCAAGGCAGAAAGAGCAAGCGCCTCATTATCTCCGTTGCAGCCATTTGGAAAATAACTGCTTGGAGAACATTTGCTACTCGCACGTCATGCCACAGATAATGGTATGAATTTCTCTTGACTCTTCCAGGTGCTGGTGTCTACACACAAATATACCCTCCAATTCCCAGCACAGTGATCAGTCCAAACACAATTTGACATGCGTTACTATTAGCGTAGCACCTTATCAAATAATGTGCCCTGATAGAGATAAAAGGTTTTACAACCCTGCCGCCTTTGTTTCTGTATGCGTTCACCCACAGAGACGGCTCTGCGGCAGCTAATAATTAGCACCAAAGACAAAGACAAATCTATATGGCTCAGAGTTGGAAGCTCCAATGTGCATGTTAAGCAGTCAGGGAGGTGGAAATCATACAGCATGGGGGGACGGGGGGGGACACAACTGAAATGAGATCTTCTGATCAGCTTTCAAAATGAATCAAAGGCAGTCTTTTCAGGACATAGATTTTATGTAACAACGCAGATGCTATGTTTGTTGGAGACATGCAGAATTTTGGAGTAGGGCTATGCTTCTGTAACTGCCTGTGTGAATGTATAGTGTAGAAAAATTATGTTAGTACCAGTTGCTGCACAAGAACTGGCTTGGATCTAGAATGATGTGGATTTGATGGGTTTAAACAGGCATCAGAGCTCTGGGCTTAGGTCGTCAATGTGCTAAGTGATATTTCTACCTGTTCGGTATATTGGAGACCCTGGAGCAGAGACTTGGTGACTAGATGTGTCTTGGAGACTGTGGCCAAAATCCTGTTGCTTAGAGTAGTAAGACATGCTACAGCAGGCCCATAGTATTATTGAGGATTTGGTGAGTCATCTTCATAACTGCCATTGATTCAAATGGTCCTAGTCAGTCCTACTAGACTTATTGTTTAGTTGTTAACTCGTGTCCGACTCTTTGTGACCCCATAGACCAGAGCACGCCAGGCCCTCCTGTCTTCCACTGCCTCCCGGAGTCAGATCAAATTCATTTTGATCGCTTTGATGACACTGTCCAAGCACTCATCCTCTGTTGTCCCCTTCTCCTCTAGCCTTCACACTTTCCCAACATCATGGTCTTTTCCAAGGAGTCTTCTCTTCTCATGAGATGGCCAAAGTATTGGAGCCTCAGCTTCAGGGTCTGTCCTTCCAGTGAGCACTCGGGGTTGATTTCCTTCAGAATGGATAGGTTTCTTCTCCTTGCAGTCCAGGGGACTCTCAAGAGCCTCCTCTAGCACCACAATTCAAAAGCATCAATTCTTCGGTGGTCAGCCTTCTTCTTTATGGTCTAGCTCTCACTTCCATACATCACTACTGGAAAAACCATAGCTTTGACAGAGTAGGACCATTTGAATCACTGGAACTTAGATAGGAGTTGACTCATGAAATCTCCATGGATTCAATGGTCCTACTCTGAGCTCAGCAACAGGATTTCAACCTATGCTTCACACACAGACAGGGTCATCCCCATTCTGGGGGTATTGGGTCTTCTCTGTGGAAATAGAAATATTTTAATCTCTTATTAAGAATACAATGATAAAAAAAAACTTCACCAGGGTGATATACAAAGCTGCACCAGTGATACAGGCCATGTGGCCTTTTCTGTCCTGGTTGGCACTCCAGTAGAATGGTGTTAAATGGTGGAGGTGGGGTTGGAGACCTTTGTCATCCGCTTCAACACATCTGGTTTCTGTTGGAGGCAAAAAAAGAGACTTAACAATTGCACAAGTAATTTGGTGCCTCAAAGTGTCAGAAACAGGAAATTAGGGTCACCTCTCCTATTATGTCTTGACTATTCATTTGCTTTCTTCTCCATGGAGTTATTCTGTCCGCTTTGACTTTAGTCCCTCCTATGACTATCTTCTCAGGCACATAACCAGATATTGTTCCTCTCTCCCCAAATATGTCATTCTCGAATAAATCTCTTTCTTCCTTGGATACAGTCTTTTGTTGTGGATTCTATGCATCCTCTTCCATAAGCCGTCATCATCTTCAGTTCTCACAAGTGGTACTGTGGGAAAGAAAATTTCATTCAGCTACAACTGAGTACACAAGAGAACCACATGTAATGGTATCAACATTCTTTTCAGTAAATACAGACACCTCTGTACACTTTCTGACATCAGCAGCAAGTGGAAGAAATATGTCGCATTCTGTTAACTAAGGGTCTGCCAGATGCTTTGTTTTACTGTAGGTTGACTCTCTTCTAGCTCAGAAGCTTAGTCCTGGCAGTCCATTGTATGCATTGGTCTCACTAAATATATATAGATGGAAACTTACTTCAAGCTGTTAAAAGCCCTGAAACTGTCAAAAGTTAATGGAGACAACGAATCTAAAATGCTACTATTATATCCCAGACTTCTATTTAATTTAATTTTCTTCAACGGGAGGCTTCAGATGTGGAAACTTCCTATACATATTGCCTTCATTAACAAACCCCAAGCTCATGATTTTTTTGATAAATTTAGGTACTGCATCTGTGTTTTCATATTTTCTTTGTATTGGACAAAATGCATGATTTCCCATTTCCAGTGCAACCACTCTGAGAACCTCCTCATCGTTCTTCCTGATTTACAGCACGTAGAGAGAGGGCAGATTACTCACCACTGTTTGATTTATCTCCTCACTGACTGGGCTGTTGCTCAGGCAGGAAAACATCCCCCCCCAGCTTTTTATTCTCTCTCTGTCTCTCCCTCTGTCCTTTCTGCAAAGGTTGCTAACAAGCTCCATCTTCCTCGGCTCCATATCTTGAGTAATTTCTGTATGTTATTTCAGAGCAAGGGACAAAATGTTCTGCAGAGCTATGATGGCGTGGTGCTGTGTAGAAAACAGCCTGCAACACCAGAGTAAAGATTACAAGGAATCTTAGCATTTAAGGATGAAACCCTATATTTGTTTATCCCCAGGCTACTGAACAGAAGCTCCACTGAAGCCAGTTGTGTTTGCTTTTGAGGAGACATGTATAGAATTGAGCTGCAAGGTTTGTTTGTTTTTTAAATGATGATTTTAAAATGGATTTTGTATGTGTTCGTGTTTGCGTGGGCAAAGAACCCACAATGAAATAGTTACACTAATTTTATGCCTTTTCCATCTTTCTGTTCTTTGTATCCATTTTTTTTTAACACCAAAGAGGCCTGGGCAGCTTGTATGGTCTGGTAATTTCCTCCCCTTGATGGAGTGGTTTGCCTCCATTCAGGTGTAGGTCTCAGGGAGCTTGCCGGTTGGAGTCTCAGGGGGACTGCTGTCCTTCTCCAGGTGGGAAGGAAAAAAATCTCAGGGCAAAATGGGCTGGAGCAGAAGAGACTTTGATTTTGTGTGTGAGAGAGATCTCTACCCATTCTCCAGCTTGTAGCAGGGCTCACAGGCTCGGTAGGAAGGCAACATGTGTTGCACTGTCTTATATCAGAGCACCCCAAAGTCAGGAGCAAGGAGGGGGATTCAGTAGGATCATGAGCTCTGGCCAGAGTGAAGCAAGGAGTGAAGTGTGGCAATTTGTGAGGTTTCTTGATGCCCAAGCACTTGCAGCAGTTGTCATCACAATGGTTCAGTGACATCACAAAGACCCTTTTGTCTTAGGCTTTGGCTGGGAGTCTCAGGGGATAGGATGTAGACCACCCAGGAAACCTAGTAAGCCCCATGGTGTGGTGGTTAAGCTACAGTACTGCAGTCAAGACTCTGCTCACAATCTGAGTTTGATCCCAATGGGTTCAGATAGCTGGCTTAAGGCTGACTCGACCTTCCAACCTTCCAAATTCAGTAACATGAGTACTCAGCTTGCTAGAGGACAAAGTGTTGTTCGCATAATTATGTTGTAAAGCAACCAGAGAGTGATCTAGCACTATGGGCTGGTATATACCATATTTTTCTGTGTATACAACCCCCCATGTATAAGACAACCCGTTAATTTTTAATCTTCAACAGTAGGATAGCTGATCTGCTTTTGACTTGCTTGCATCCATGGGGCAAAAAACTTCCCACCTTTTCTTGAAAGTTCCAGAATAGTTGCTGTGAATCTGAATAGAAAATGAACCCACTGTAGGACCCTCCATATCTCAGGGGATTGGTTCCAAGTGCTGAAAATGGCAGATAATAGCAAACCCTATACATGGCATGGTCTCTTGGTCCCTCTAGTGGCCTGTTCTAGTAACTACATTGTGGAAATATGTATTTCTAGGTAATTTCTTTTAATATTTGTAATATTTTGAGACTGTGATTAAGTGAAACTGTGAATACTGATCCCATGGACATGGAGGTCCTTCTGTATTATGTTTTTAAGGGCTTCTCGTATTTCTCAGTTGAAGGGTCAGACTGGTAAATCCCAAGCCCCTCATTAGTTGTTTTGTTGTTGTTGTTTTTGAAAACCCGAAGCATTAGTGTCTTAAGTTACATTTTTTGTAGAACTGAAAATAAAAGACCTATCATTTAGATATTATGTGTCTTTGTAAACAGTGTCACCAAATTTCAGGCACTTTTTATGTATTTTTTTTTCTGAAGCAAAAAGGTTCTAACATTGCTTTCTGCTTTCTTTGTTGTTCCAGCTATTATAAGATACAAAAAGAACATGAAGTGCTGTTTCTGGGTGAGCCATGATGCAGTGAAGTGACATATTCATGAGAAGGAATGATGGGGCGGGGGATAATATCTACCTGGGAGATCAACAAAATGGATTGTTTGGTTGTCAGAGTTGTAATGCTTATGTATACACCCAAAAGCAGGTTTTTCCAAATTACTGTGTGGAAGAACTCTATGTGAAACATGATGGAGTAAAGGGAAAAAACCTTCCTTCCTTCCTTTTGCAATGAGCAGATGCAGGCATAGGCCATCCTCCAGAATGAAAAGGAAAGTCCAGTTATGTAACAAAAGCCTATTCCACAGATTATTTTTTCTTGCTTTTGAAAGGAGTTCTAAACAAGAGACTCTAAACCTTAAAAAAATCCTCAGTATTCTCTGGAATGGCATTTGAAAACCACGATCTATTTGTGGAGGCAAACATGGAATCCATGCCACAATATTACAACTTATTTTGCATTTCAGAATAAGTTTAATTCATTCTTTCAAACATTTTCCCTTCTCCAGTGATAACTTTGAATCCATTTACATTATTATTTCAATAGACCACTCTTTGTCATATATATTTTTCTCCCTCAGGAACTCCTTCGTTATCTTTTGAAGCCTGGGCCAGGCTTTCTGAAGGAGAGGGACTGCTTGATTAACTTCAAAAAGCCTCACCACTGATGGTCACATTAGGTTGTCTGTTGGCCTGCAGCAGTTGCTCCAGTGATGATGAAAACACATCTCCATTTGTTTTGGGGTGTATGGTTTTTGGATTGTGGTTGACATAGTGATACAAGACTTCAATAGTGCTCTTTCAGAAGTTTCAGATTGCTAGCCAAGTGTCATGTCTATTATGCCTTGAAGTGAAAGGGTTGAGGAGACAGGATAGAAGTCCAGGGTCTGGCTCAGAAGATGTGGACTACAAAGCCCTGGACTTCTGATCTCTCTGCTAGCTAGAGATTCTGGGATTTGCTGTCCAAGACTGTCCAGGGTCACAAGTTTGACGTCACTGATCTAGCCAAAGTTAAAGCATTTATGTAACAAGATCTAACACTGGACACCTTCTGGCAGACATGAGAGAACTCGACATAAGTGGAAGGGATGGCATTCTTCACTTCCCTCTACCCTTTGCAACCCTCCACATATCCTTGAAAACCAGTTCTATGTACCTCCAAAACCTCCTAGAACTGATGTTGGGCAGCTGGGATTAATGCTTCAATGCCCCCAAAGGCAGATCAGACAATGCCATGTTAATGCTTCAATGCCAACAACAATTTACAAATTTCTTTAGTAAGAGAGAGTGTGAAGCATTATTCTCCTTCAGCCTATCTGAAATGATTGTCTTGAACACAGGCAGCAGCTGAGAACAACTCTTAATTAATTAATTAATTAATTAATTAATTAATTCATTAATTCATTCATTCATTCATTCATTCATTTTATACACCATCTATCTGGCCAAGGGCCACTCTGAGCAGTTTACAACACAACATAACAAAATAACAATATCCAGAAATCAAATCATAAAATATAACTCAACTATATATCAGACCGTTTAAAAATCAGACCATTTAAAATACTTTCTAAAAACACCTAAACATTTTGAAGTTTATAGCTTATGGCCATTCTTTCATGACACAGTTTCCATATTCTAATTAATCAAACTGGACAGTCCAATTTGCATATTATGTCAGTTTAACAGCCTTATTTGCATATATGCTAATGCACCGATTATTCAGATCAACTTTCTTATTTGTTGCTTTGCTCCTTGACCAATATGTTTCAGTCTTGCTATCATACTATATGACAACCACTCATGTCAGAGAACTAGTACAGTGTCATGGTTGGAGTTTCGGATGTGGAACAGAGAGACCCAAGTTCAAACCCTAGTGTAGTTATAAAACTTACTCGGCATCTCTGCCTCAGTCAGTACTTCTCATACAAATCTACATTACCAGATTCATTTTGGGATCATACAGAGGATGCATATAAATAAGCAAATAATAACATTTTTGCTACAACCAGAGGTTTCTGGTGATTTTCTCATGAGATAGCTGTTACTTTTGTGCTGTCTCTTTTTATTAATTATAAAAAAATTCTTCAGATTCGTGATAATACAACAAGAACCTGTCACAAGTCGGCATAGAGTCATCTGATATGCCTGAAGAAATGCATTGGGAAATGATGCCAAACAACAGATATCATAGGAAAAAAGATGTGATTTCCTTCAGAAAGGCATTTTGAATATTTTATGGTAACTAAAATATTGGACCACACTACTCAGCACCTTTCAACCAGCATAGCTGATCGCATTAACTGGAGTATTCTGGGAGCTGCGGCCCACTTAGAGAGTCAGAGTCTGCCTTCCAGGACCCTTTGAAGGCTCCCCTCACCCCCATGGGGCCAGCGGGGGCAAAATCGCCAGCTTCCAGGACCCTTTTGAGGCTTGGGAAGCTT